ACGCCCCCACCGCGCAGCTCCCACGGCGCCCTGGCCAGCCGGTGCCCACGCGCACGCCCCCACGTGCACTCTCCCACCGCGCAGCTCCCACGGCGCCCTGGCCAGCCGGCGCCCACGCGCACGATCCCACCGTGCAGCTCCAACAGTGCACAGCCCAGGTACTCTCATCCACAGCACTCGGCCTGTAGATACGCACCTCAGCAAGGGCAGCCCTCCTGGGCTGAGCCGGCCGGCCCTTTGGACGCAGGCCTAGCTTCACGGGCAGAGCGCAGGCTAGCCCCCGCACAGCTGGCTGTGAGCCACGGGCTGGCAGGCACTTTTCTCAGCCCCTGTACAAAGCATGATGGGAAAGCTGAGCTTAATGGAGACACAGACAGCAAGATTTAAATAAATAAGCTGTATTATCTGTACAAAAACATAAATAATGGTTTTGTGTTTTACAGGAGGAAGCACCTCCCCCCCACGCTCCAGCAGCCCTCCTAAGCTGTGGTGCTGCTGAGTCACAATTCACAGAGCACACATCAAAGGTACATTCATCTCATGCAAGGAGCACACGCTGCCACCCCAAGCCTAGGCTCGCAGCCCGCGCTGCCACCCACTACCAACCCTCCCCGCACAGCTGGTGGAGCTGGAAGAGGCCTGCTTTGTAGGACCTGCAAATATATACTGGAGCTTTTCAATAGCCATTGAGCTAGAAATAATCACTTGCATTAGTAGTATGGAATTTATCTTCATTATTCTATGCATAATATTGTGTCACAAATGACTCACCTCTATTGTCCCATATTAGCTTTTACAATATATTCTGTACACAGTGAATAATGGATCCAGAGTTAAACAGCCTTTATGAAAAATATAATAATCACCACTGAGTTTACAGAAACACAGCTTCAGGAAGTTAATTCAAAAATTCTCCCAAGATGTTTTCAGGACGACAATGTACAATTACTAATATTGCACTTTTTTATACAAGAAACCCTAATAAATATTCACAAAAGATATACATAGAAAACATTCTCTTTTATTTTAAATAAACATTACACTGATTCTTAGTAACATGATTTCTTAGAGTCTATTTTTGTGGTGAGGAAGAAAGGTTATCTAATCATCTGTTGCTCAACTAGAAAAGAGACATTAACACTGTCCTCCAAGTTTGCTTCTGGGCTGGCTGGAGAAAGCACTGATGTCAGTGGTGGCATTGGGTCAGTGGCGTTTTGTGGGTGGGTGCTGCAGGGTGGCTGGCCTGGGGACAGGTGAGGAGGGCTGCCCCTGCTCAGCCGGGACCACTCAGCGGGACGAGGTCAAGATGACATGCCCCTGGCCGCTTGGTGAGGAGCAGGCTGCCCTGCAGGCCGGCGGCTCCTGCGTCTCTGGCCTCTGCTGCAGTGGCGCTGCTCGGAGGTGTGCAGAGTGCACTGCCCGTGGAGCAGCCCACTCTCTGAAACTGTGCTCTGCTAATGACTATAAGCTTTGTGGCCTTTCACTGCAGGGTGGATGGGTGGGCAGCCTTCGGAGGCCTGGCTAGGAGGCTGCATGCTGTGGCTGTGCCGTGGCTTCTGCTCCTCCCACCTCAGCACGCTGTACAAATCTGTGTCCAGCAGCACTCACAGTGCTCCAGGAGGGGCCTGCAGACCCTGGGCTGGTGGCTGGGACAGACAGGCCATGCCTTCAAGGACATGCACAAACCCTGTGGGTGACCTGCCCCACTGTGCCCCCGGCCAGCTCTGGGAGAGAGTGGTTGCTTCAAACCTACAGACATTCTCTGGCACACTGATTCTGACCAGCAGGTGCCAGGCCTGTCAGAGGCCTCCAGGGAGGAGGCCTGGCTACCCAGGCCCCAGGGTCCTGGCCAGCAGCGGCAGGCAGTTCCGAGCTGGGGCTCGTCCTGGGGAGGAGATGCCAGAAGCAGCACTCACGTCCCATAGCATTGCAGTGGCTGCACAGGCAGAGCTTACCCAGTGTGGGGAGCAGGGGCGCCCCTTACTCCAGGAAGGACATGGCCCCTACCTGGCCAAGGGGGACCCTGAAAAGGCAGCAGAGCTCTACTCATCTCCGACCTTCCCTTGAGCCCTGGAGGCACGTGCATGCACTGGGCTTAGAGCTGTCTCTGAGCCCCCACACTGCTGGAAGTCCCTTCTGCCTGCTCCCTGCCCGCCTCCGAGCAGCACACCGGCTCCTCTCCTTTCTGCCCCTTCCCTTTCTTGCTTTTTCCACATCACTGTGTGCCATAGGCCTCCTCTGATGGTCCCTCCTTTACCGCTGCACATCCGCGTTGAGTTCTCTGTGTTCCCCACCAGAAGCCCCGAGTGCTGGGCTGCAGTCTCCCCTTGTCCTTATGGTCACCAAGGGAGCCGAGGAGGAGACAAAGGACAGCACTTGCAGCGGTGGCTTCCAGGGAAGACAAGCGCGTTCGTCGGAGGCTTGCACCGCACTGTCCAAGGCACCCTCCTCCTGGCCGGCCCAAGTTGGCCTGCCCTGGAGCCCCACACCGGTCCTCTGCCCTGCCGGGGTTCTGTCCTGCGGGGGAGGGAAGCGCTGTGGAGGCTGTCTGAGGTGGCTTCCACGGGTCTTCGGGGAGGCCAGGGGCGATGCTCCTGCGCCCCGACCTCACGCCTCTCCACAAGTTCCACAGCAGCGCAGCTTGAACTGGCTGAGCGGGCAGAGGTGCAGCTGCTTCACCTTCTCGCAGTACCTGCTGGTGTCGCTGCACTCCCCTGGGAGGGGACAGAAAGGAGACGTGAAATAAGGCTGCTGTGGCACCACGCCCGGGGCTGGCCCTCGCCCGCAGCAGCGAGCAGGGGCGGCCCAGCCGACAGCCAGCAGAGCACCCGTGTCCTTGGGGCCCTCTGCGCTCTTTCCCAGGCGGCCCTCGCTCCCGCGGTGCTCGTCCACCTTCCTCCCGTCTCCCGGCTCCTGGCGGCTCCCCGCGCTCTAATCTCTCCGCCGCCCTTTTCCCTTCTCTGCTTTGAGTATTTCATTGCCTGGCCTGCTTCTCCTTGAACTGGCTTCGCTTAAACCTTTCTACTCCTCCTGCCTACAAGGCCTCAAACACAGTTTGGTTTGATGCGGACGCAAGGGTTTGTGAGCACCGGTGCTGATCTGGTCTGCTGAGTGCTAGCTGCTTACACTGCACCCGGGTACCTGGTGGGCCGCTGCCCAGCCTCGCAGAGACAAAGGCCATCTGCTCTCTGCGGGGGGTGGGGTGGTGGGGTGGGAGGTGGGGTGGGAGGGCAGGAGCCTGCAGCTCAGTGAAGCCCAGTTTGGTGGAAAACAGCGCTCTTGTGTCTGTTTTTTATTTCTTATGTCTTGAGTTTTTGATTTTTTTTGTCCTTGTGGGGAAATGCCTCCAGTCTGGGCTTCGGGTTCAGAGAAGGAAAAATTAGATCTCTGCCCAGCTGGAATGCAAACGCTGTGTTGGGCTGAGGGGCTCCATACTTAGGAGGAGGGAGGGAAATGAGGCGCGGAAGCCCGCTCAGTTCCGGCAGCTCCTGGCCCGGGAGGAGGAGGCCATTGGCAGGTCCTCAGTGAAGCAGAGCGGTGCTGGGCACAGAGCGGCTGGGGCAGGAGCCCGGCAGGAGCAGCACCTGCTCCTCAGCAGAGGGCCCTGAGAGCTGCTGTCTAGGTGTCTCTAGGCATGCCATCTGACTGCAGGCAGCAGGAGGCCAGTGTCACTAAGCACCTGACTCTGGGTCACAGTGGATCTGGGGAGCCTGTGGGACATACCCGGTCATCTTTGCAGTCAGCATGCATACACACCTCTCTGTGTGTTCCCATGCACTCCAATAGAAATCCTCAGCTCTGGCCCCAGCTCACAATTCTTGGGCAACCTGAGCCAACAGCCTGGGTCTATGTTCATGCCCAGGGACTGCCCTCTGCACCCGGTGCCCTATGGAGAATTTGCAGAATGGCCTCTGGGGTTGGAACATACTGTTTTCACATGGGGTAATGTTGCAGCGTTGCCAGTTGGCAGGCCGGGCGCCCCAGGAGCACAGGTGCTCCGACACAGCCTTGTTGGTGTGGGCGTGCACGCACTCTACCCGCCGGGACTGGAAGCCGTAGCTGCCACAGGTCGCAGTGCACACGGTCCACAGGCTGACCCGCCAGTGCACGCTGCAGGCTTCGGACCAGCAGTTCTGAGAGCTCACAGGCCTGTGGGGTGAGGGCGCGGTTAAAGTGGGTATCCACAGGGAGCAGGCCGGGAGGGACATGCCAGTGATGCTACAGATCTGGGAAGCTCAGGTAGCTGTCAAGCACCTCCTCTGTCACCAGACCAAGGTTCTGACTGGAGCTTCACAACAGCACCCGTGTGTCAGTGGCCACTTCCCCCAACCGGACCCCCATCACCCCTCTCTACAAAGTCTGTGCCTCCAGTGGCCCAAGAGTGAGCTGTGCCCAGGTGGAGACTGGCAGAATCAGAACTTGGTGGCCACCCTTAGGAGCTGAGGTCTTAGGTGGGGTGTGAGCTCTCCTCCCAGTGGGACATCTATGAGAAGGTGTGGTAAGCCAAGGGGGTTGGACAGGGAGGAGAAGTTGAAGCCAGAGACAAGGCCCCTCATCACACCCTGATTTGCAAATAGAGGTCAGCATGTGCAAGGAGCTGCTGGAGTCTGTGGCCACCGGACCTCCCTACCTTTTGTCTGCCTTGGGACCAGGGTGGGTTTCTCATGGGATCTGGCCTTGCGCAGAGGAACTGCTGCTCCCCGCTGTTCCCCCTGCCCTGCCTGCTTCCTCCCCAGCCCAGCAGTAAGCACAACGCCTCTCCTGAGCATTGACCTCTGGAGGGGCAGGGGCACCACTGACCTCTGGAGGGGCGGAGGCCTTGCATGCAGTGATGGCTAAGTGAACAAGGCTTCTAGTCCACAAGACTGGGAGGCAGGAGGGGTAGGATTCCACCGCCACGTTGCTGTGGCTGGGGACAGAGGTCCTGGGCACCTCTTACCTGGGGAGGGCGCTGCACTGCTCCGATGGTAAGGTGATGCCGTCTCGGGTCTGGCAGAAGACCTGTCTGTGCTGCATGGCCGTGTGAGGCCCCACGCAAGGCCCGCTGCACTGCAAAGAGGAGAAGGAACGAGTGTCGTGTGGGCACAGTCACAGGTGGGGGGCCAGTACTGAGGCCATCTGGGACCCTGGTGGAAGCCCTCTGCTCAGGCATGTCCCCAGCTCTCAACCAGCTGAGGGTGCTCGCTGGCATGTTTTCTTTGTGCCACAGCTTGCTAACAAATGGCTGAGGAAAGAATAGCATCTGTCAGAGAGAGTCAGCTCCCTTCGAAATGAACTGTGTGGGAGCTACCGCGGTGCTAAGTGCTAGGACTGTGCTGGTACACTTGAGGGCCGAAGACCTCGGAACAAGCAACCCCCCCCCCCCGGGTGAGGCCATGGCTTGTGATGCTCTTGCAGTGTCATCCACGTTTCCATGGCCACCACTTCTTGCTTTGGCCTCGTGTCTTTAGGTCTGACCTAGGATGGCTGAAAAGCAGACTTAGGTGTGTGTTCTTCTTCAGTTCTCAAAGGACGCAGACCCCTGAGGTTGCTGTGGAATACAGGGCCTTCAGCTTGGGGCTTTAGATCCCTACAAATCCGGGGGGCGGGCTGTCATTTCATCACGCTGCAGGGAAGAGGGTTTGTGTCTGTCTAAATGGTTCTCCCATAGGTCCTTTCCTGCCTGCTCTCCTGCGGGGCAGCCCCAGCCCCAGGGAGAGCCTGAAGGAGGGGCCAGGTGGAAGTGCCTGCGGGGTCACCCCAGCCCACAGGGAGCTGCTGTCTTTGGGCTCTGGAGGCTCAGTTTGACACTCTGCTCATAAGACATGCGCTGGGGGAGATACTCAAAAGGCTTTCTTGATAGCCAAGATCCCTTGTTGGGTTTTCTAATAAGAAAATATATAGCATAAATTTTTATCAGTTTTAACCATTTAAAAATATTAGGAAGTACAGCAAACATGGAAAAATGATTTACAAATGTGTATTTCAGAGTTACGATGTAGACATAAAAGCAAGGCCAGGAGCGTGATGTTGTCACATCCTCAGAAATGGCCTGAACTTGGCTTTTTTGTTTCTTTTGTCTTGCTATACAGTCTAGGGTGGTCTTGACTCCACATGTAGCCCAGGCTGGCCTCAGCCTCCCAAGTGTTGGGGCCACAGGGTATGGCTCCATCCCAACTGTACTGTCAGTCTAGACACACACAGTTTCTGTTTTTTGTTTTGTGGTACTAGGGATTGAACTCAGGACCTTCTATCTGCCAGGCAAGTGCTTTAGACACACCTAGTTTCTGGATAAAGGGCCCCACTTTTTTTGCTCAGGTCCCTGAAATTATGTGGCCGGTCCTATACACAGGTGGGGAACACAATCAGCAACTTGGAGCCTGCTGTACCTGCTCCGTCACGCTTCTCCATGCGTGGAGACTGCTAAGATTTAACTTTCCACATAGTCTGGGTTATGCCTGGTTTTGAAATTACATGAGCTGTATTTTATGTCTGTTTTTAAAGATAGGGTCTTCCTCTGTAGCCCGGACTGGCTGTGCGCTCATGACCCCGCCTCAGCCTCCTGAACACGGGTGTGCGTGCCACTGGGATGCGCTCAGGGGTGTTTTTGCATTGGGCTTACTTTCTTACTATGCAGTAGACATGCATGTCAGTGTTCACGGATGTGCAGCACTTTGAGCACGACATAAAGTCTCATCTATATTTAATGATTGGTTTCTTTATAATTTTAATAACTTATTCGCATGATAATACTTCAATGAACAGTTTTTTACTAGTCCTTTGTGGAGTACATCGGATATAGACAGGTATGGCGGACCCTTGAGTGACAACTGGCTTCACATACAAACAACTTGGGTTAGGACTAGAATTTTAGGTTTAACGTCAGACCAAAGTGTTGAGTTATGACCCAAATGTTGGATCTTGTGAGGTTGTAAACAAAGACTTACAGTGCCCTGAAAACGTCAGTAAGCCTGCGTGTCAGTCTGAGCCGAGATGCGTGTGCTTGTGGGTGTGCTTGCAGTCAGTGCTTCACATAAGCGCTGTGGTGACTGCTATCAAATAGCTCCCAAAAGTGAGACAAGAAGCCAAGAAAAGAAGGGAGCTAAAGAAAGCAATTGCAATGAAAAGGAAAAGGAAACTGGGGAGCAACACGAGAGGGGCATTTGTGTGACTCATCTTGCTAATATGTTAAAATCGACCATCTCAACCATCTTACAGAGAAAAGATTTGTATAAAGCTGCCAGTATTGGGACAAGGGTATAGCTCAGTGGCATAGCACCTAACTGACTAGTGCAAGGTCCTGAGAGTGATTTGTGGTACAAAAAAGCTGCTAATATTCCTAAAGGTGTTGCTCAAATTAGTAAGTCATGAACAACAGGGTTGAGAAATCTTGGGCCAATGTCAAAGGCCACTGAGTTCTGCTGGAACAATGTGTGGCCTAAAATTATACAGGAGGGAGACTTTGAAGGCTATAGAGAGGGGCCTGAGCCTTCAGGCAACCCCGTGGTTGATGACATTGTCACTACAGCGGACTCCTTAGGCTTGCGGGTAGACAGTAGTGATGCTGAGGAGCTGGTGGAGGAGCCTCAGAGGCATTGTCTACAGCGGAGCTTCAGCAGCCTGGCTGGGCGACAGAGAATGGCAGTGCAGAGCTTGCTGAAGAGGAAGGGGAGTATCCACAGTCAGTGTGGCAAGGATCGTCTGAAGTAAAGGAAATCCTGAAACAACAGGTGGAGCCACAGACTTTTGTAGGGAAGACCCACAAAGACAGAGAAAAAGCTAGTCGTTGCACTCACTTGCTTAGTGACAGTGTCATGTCATACTACAGAACAGGATTACAGAAAAGACAGAAATAGACAACCTAAGACCAATGTTTGAGACATAATGAGCCAGAGGCAGGGCCTGGAGGGCTACAGACTCTCCCAAGGAGAGAGAGAACACTGGGGAGCCAGATTCCTGATGTCCTTATGTCCTCCTTCCAGCAGTAACCACCTTGCATTTCATCCTGCCTTCCTGCCAGCCAAGGACGTCCGCTCGACCGGCGACTGCAGCCGGAACTGCTGAATCTGGTACACGAAGCACATTCTATAACTCTGGGGCGAGTACGCCGGGGAAATTATTGGTGCTGCTGGTAAACTGCGCACATTATGCAACAATTTTTAGTATGAAAAGGTTCATTAAGTGGTGCTTCAGGAAGCTTGGAACACATTAGGGGTATTTCTCATGAGAAAAGTTGTCCTGACTTACAGCCAACTTGAGCTGCAACCAGCCACCGAGAGTGACCGGAGTTTGTAGGCGAAGGCTCTAACGTAGTATGATCAAGATAGATGGTGAAAAACTGAATTTAAAAATTATAGTAGAATAGCCATTAATCTCCTCAAAACATTCCCCTTGCTTTGAGCACACTTACCTCGTGTTTTGTCTATGTTATGAAGCAGGGCTGAATCCCTCTTTTTTGTCTTTATGTGGTGTCATAAAAATCTGCTAAGTGCTGGGGTGGGGTGCCAGCCAGCACAAAGCCAGGCTGGCAGAGGATGACTGGACATCCCGTCCGCCTTATTCCCCGGACCTGGCACCTTGTGTCTTCTGTTTCGTCCCCCAAATCAAAATGACCATGAAGGTAAACATTTGGAATCACTTCAGGACTGGGACAGCCATGACGGCACACTGAAGGCCCAGAAGGCGACTCTGGAACTGCATCAGAAGGCAGGTGGCCTAAGCGTGTCCGGAGAAGGGGGTCTAGGGGAGAACCACGGCAAGCTGTCTTTTACTTCAACAAATTGTACCAAATCATTAAAACATCTCTGTATTTTTCTGTTATCCCACATAGACGTAGAGATGAGTGTGGAGTTTTCAATTTAAGAGATTATTATCAAACAGGTTTCCAAAGTGCTTTTGCCAATTCTTCTCCTGTCTGTGGTGCATGAAATTTTCATTTGGTTGAAATTTTTGGAAGGCCTTGGAATGGTCCCATGCTTGTATTTTAGTTTAGTGAGTATACAGCAGATGTAATTTTTGTTCAGATTATATCCTTTGTTACTGAGGGAGTTTAACATCTTTTTATTACATTCTCATTTTACTGACGTGCCTATTTAATCATTTTTGCACCATTTTTCTCTTGTATTAACTATACGTTACTAGTTTTACGAGACTCTTTGTGTGTATTTGAGACACAAGCACCCCACCCTGACGTGGCTATTAGACTTAAGTTCTTCCACTGAGTGCCACTTGTTACTCACTCAGATGCTGTCTTTTGATGATGATCTGAAGTTTGATGTATTTAATTCTAATTTTATTTTGTTTTAATTTAAAGCATTGCTCTTTGTCATCACTAACATACATGTGCTTACCTCGGGCCATTTAGGCGTGGTTTTTAAGTGGAGGACTCACAGCACTAAACAGCATCCGTATTGCTGTTCAGCCCGTGCCACTGGTCATCTTTAACCATTTCATCTGAATCTGAAGCTCTATACCCGCTAAAGAATAACTCCCCATTCCTCCCAACTATTATTCTTTCCTGAGGTAGTCTTTGGGAGATGAATTTGCCTACTGCATACCCCACAAGAGGAATGACATAGAATTTGTCCTGTTGTATGCAGCTTATTTTTGTCACAGTGCCTTAAGGTTTATCTAAGCTGTGGCATGAATTGGAATTTCACATTTCTTTTAAGGGTGTATACTATTTCGTCATACTTGTCATTTGTTGCTTATGATGGGGTATGCTCTGAGTATTTGTTAAGTGACTTTTTCATTGTGCAAACATTGAAAAGCACTTAAACTGGCTAAGGTGGCTATGGCTTCACTGGATGACGATCTCATGAGACCCCTGCTGTGTATGTGGCCATTGGCAGGTGCCACAGGTTTGCTCTTTCTTCACTGGTTGGTGGACACTTGGCTTGATTTCACTTTGACTATTATAAATAGTCAAACACTTATGCTGTGAACACTTATGGAGACCTGGGCTTGCACGCTCTTTTATTTTTTAAAAATTTTTAATGTATTTGGTATAGGATCTCACTGTGCAGATCAGACTTGAGGTGATCCTCCTGTCTCAGCTTCCCTAGCACTGG